AAGATCCGAGAACGGTTTTACTGGGTCCACTGTCGTGACGATGTCGAGGACTGGTGCCGCAAATGTACAAGTTGTGCGGCTGTAAAGGGACCTCAAATTCGTAGTAGAGGCGCATTGAAATTGTACAATGTTGGTGCACCATGGGAGAGGATAGCCATTGACGTTGCGGGGCCGTTTCCAGAAACTGAAAGTGGTAACAAGTATTTCATGGTAGTGATGGATTACTTCACTAAGTGGCCAGAAGTCTTCGCCATTCCAAATCAAGAAGCTTCAACAGTTGCAGATAAACTAGTTCATGAAGTCTTCTGTCGTTTTGGAGTACCTTTAGAGATTCACAGCGATCAAGGAAGGAATTTTGAGTCTCAAATATTCCAGGAAACTTGCCGAGTTATGGGTACTCAGAAAACACGAACAACTTCTTACCACCCACAATCTGATGGAATGGTAGAAAGATTTAATCAGACATTGGAGAGGTACCTAGCAAAAGTTGTGGAAAAACGGCAACGAGACTGGGACAGGCACATACAACCGTTTTTGTTGTCATATCGAAGCGCTGTTCACGAAAGTACATCAGTGACACCAGCTTTCGCAAACTTTGGGAGAGAATTGCGGCTGCCTGCAGACCTGATCACCGGAATACCACCTGATGCCCCACGCAGTATAACCGATTATGCAAATGACTTGCGGAACAAAATGAATGACATTTATGAGCACGTCAGACAGACGGGCCAGCAAACGTCTGAGAAGATGAAAACACGGTATGACCGCAAAATGAACAACAAGGGCTTTGATGAAGGTTCACTAGTGTGGTTACACAATCCAGTTCGCAGCAAAGGGAAATCTCCTAAGCTTCAAGCTAAATGGGACGGACCGTACCGGATTGTGACAAGGATCAATGATGTAACCTACCGGATACAGAAAGGTGCCAGAGGTACTCCTAAGATTGTCCATGTGGATCGACTGGCGCGTTATTATGGGGCCAATAATGCTCGGGACGAGCATGTCTTAGGAGGGGGCAGTGTTACGCGCCACTATTAATGTCTTGTACATGGCAACACTAGTTACACCAGCGCCCCCTAGTGTCGAGTAAATGAAAGTATTGCGCACCACTATTAATGTCTTGTACATGGCAACACTAGTCACACTAGCGCCCTCTAGTGTCGAGTAGCAGAACTAGGAGAGTCGAGATCCTTCCAGAAATTTCGGGACCGATATGTACTCGAACATTCTAGATGTCGCTACAGTAGAAGGTTCTGGAAACTATCTGAGGCCCTATATAAGACCGGTATAGACCACGACCGGGGCAGTATTGAATTGGCGATACAAGAGAATACTTCGAAACGAAATAACGGCGAACTGTGTTTTATTATTAGTGTGATTTTAGATTGTAATTAGTGTTGTGTAATTAAAGTGTTAATTTTGGTAATTCAATCGGCAGTTTTTAATTGTCTCGAACCCCAAGCTCGTAACAGTATTAATTTTTATAACCACTTATTAAAGCTACTTACTTAGTAACCACGTATACACCGAGAATAGCTGCTAATGGTGTACATGGACCACACATTTCGTAGATAATTAGCCTAAGCTGTTCTATCAAAGGCCGGTATTTTTTACAGAATAAGGGCAAACAAGTACACAGTTCACATATTATATCTTATTTTATACTAGTATCCGTGAGAGCATGGTCTTTACCCGATCGACTCGACCCATTCGTGCTGCAACCACTTATAACACACACTTAAATATAGGTATCATAAAACTATCTCTCTCCCCATGCTCCAAGATGTTCATTAAACAACCGCAACTTCAAAAAATTTCGCCATGTTAGGTCGCAATATTTTCGTTGTATCTCACGTGTTATACATGACGCAGAAAATAGTTATATCAATTTTCATATTTTTCTTACTGCTAATCAGAAGCGAACCGTAGTGGAAACTAAACTATTCATCAAATCGTGTCATAATGTATGTATTTTTAACTAACCTAACCAGCGACCCTATCTTGAACCTTTGGATCAAAGCTTCTAGCAAGGGTAATTAATAATTGTTAATTTTATAAATTTTAAATTTGCTTTATACAACATTTTTAATTTTATATAAAGCAAATTATAATTGCTTCTTATAATGTGACTAACGTAACGCTTTGCTCTGCGTTTTGTAATGATGATGATGATGATTGTGATAACAAATAGTTTTTTAGCATGTAAGTGCTTTAAGAATCGCTTGTATATTTGACCGATTATAGACTCGTATATCCAGTTATTTGTTGCTACTGTAATCCACATTGACGCCCGTACATCATGGACGGATGTATGGATTGTGCGGAGAATTCTAATGTTCACGTTAAAACCTCACAATTGTTGGGATTCCGACTAACCGTCAGCGTTTTTGCATGTAAACATGCGTTCAACCATTCTCCGTTAGAATTTTGTAAGAGCATGATCCTTCCTCGGTCGAGTCGAATGTTCGTAATTCGTCGTTTCCTTATCATAGCCAAATTTTTTATCTCGGGAATTATAGATTGTAATAATGTTTGTGATGTAAATTACCCATTACTTGCTTTTATTGTATTGTTTTGTTTATCGGGAGTAGTAAGCCATCATTAGTCCTAGAGCACGGCGTAGGCGAGGTCACCCGTTCTTTCTTTGCCGTCCACGTCATACGCATGTTGTTTCATCTAACGTAATAATAACAGGCTAATAAAGTTGAATATCGTTCCCGTCACGTTCGGAACGCGATGAATTTTCTTACAAGATTATTTCAACGATAGTAATTAGATTTTTTTATTTGTATTAGTACTTTATGGGAATTACATTTTGATATTAAGACTGTTATGCTTGAAGATTATTGGCAGCGAATTACCGGAACTGAGCATCTTAAAATTTTTATTTTGATTGATAACGGAGTGGGCTTGTGCTGCTTACAAAAGCAACAATATATCCTCAAAACCCTTAAATAAATGTTACTACTAAATATATTTTGTTTATAAATATTTATATTTGCGTGTATGTTAATAATTAAATGAATATTTCTTTATCATTTCATCGTTCCGTTGGCATATTATAGGTATTTAATTCATTTTCAATCCAAGTCCACTGGACACATAACATGCATAAAGATGCAAAAAGGCCATTTTATTTAAATAGTTGTCCAACCATTGTAGGCAGATGCTATGATACTACAAGTGTTAGCGCCGAGTCGTCGACACATGCATGCGCTAAGATATGCGGTACTATAGTAAGTGAAGGTCAAGCTGGCAAAGAATACCAGCGTAAAATAACAGGTTAATGGTGCTGTGTTTTGTATCGTGAGTGTAGTGAACCGGAGACCCTTTTTACTGGTAACGAGGCATTCTGTCTTAGTCCTCAGAGGTGACAACGCATCTGCATTTTTATATTCTTAATCGAGGATAGATGAAGGTGTCTATGGGCCACAGAATTCACTAACCATCAGGTTTTTTTTATATAGAAGGGGGCGAACGAGTATGCGCCTCACCTGATGGTAAGTGACTTGTTTCATAGGAGAGGGGGCAAACGAGCATACGGCTCACCTGATGGTAAGTGACTACTGCCGCCCATGAACAACTGCAACACCAGGACAACCAGGATAATTGCAGATGCGTTGCCGGTCTTTTAAAAAGAATAGGCTCTTTTCTAGAAAGTCTCTCCGTCGTATCGGCCCGGAATAATCGCTGGTGGTCGATTCCACAAGTTGTGTGATGAAGAAAATGTGTAGTAAATCTCACAGTGGTGAACCGCCGATCATCCGGATGGTATGGATGGTATCGCAAGTTTATTACGTTCGTACATAAACGAGGTAAACTGTCTGCTTGTTATAAGTGTGACATTATTATATAAAAAAGACGGAACCATATAGTGATGGTTCCCTTCCTCCATCACTACATCAATTACACAGTCGCAGCAGTTAAGATTGCACAGTGTTATTAACTTTTTTGAACGATTCGGTAGCGCAGTGGCTACGCACTTAGACACAGATTAGTATTTCACACGGAACATACATTTGTATGACCTATAAATAATTGTTCCAGGTCCAAATTTTGTCCGTGTGCAATCTATGTAAGTAAAAATTTTTCACAATACAGTGGAAATTATTAGTGTTTATCGGAGCGCAGATCTATTTTTGTGGTCTATCTCTGACGTAAATGAGAATTTAAATACAACTATTATACGAATATTTTAAAACATATTTACTAGTTCCTTAATTTGTAATTTATTTTGAGACAAGGAAGGTTGGCAAAGATCTGCCTAGATTTATTAAGTGGATTACGTGCTAGTAAATGTGCTATTAATATTATAAGATTAGGGAGAAGGTTAATGGTTTTTTGAAGCACACTACCAAATTGCATAAAAAAAAGTGAATGATTTTAACTAATTAGATAAAAATTACACTCATGGGACCATAACCGGAGACCCTTTTGACTGGTAACCAGGCATTCCATCTCAGTCCTCAGCATGGACAACGCACCGGCATTTTGTTTCTTAACCAAGAACCAAGAGAAAAGATAGATGTACTTAGGTTTTTATAGTGTATATTTCAACTACTTGCGTTAGTTACCTTTACTTCTATACTAAACATTACGTAGTAAGAGATCCTTCAGCTTACATAAACTTAATGTTAGACCTAGGTGGACCAGACCTACCAGCGATTTCGTTTGTGTTCTAAATTCGTTTATATGAACTTAAGGATAATACAATGTGCTATTAAAAAACAAACTTTAAGAATCACCAAATAGATTAATAGTCTCTTGAGTGTTGTCCGTCTGGCTTGCTGCACAACAGCTCGTTTCAATTATCATTTGCATAATATTTATAATATAATAAAAGTGATGATAATAATATCACAGAATTTAAAGGCAAAATTGATAGATATATACGAGTACATATTATGTTTGTTACTTGTATATGAATTATTCATTCAGTGTTAGATTAGTTATTATTTTACGTAAACAGAAGCAATTATTAACGGGCAGGGAGAACTTACATTCCTTGTGTTTGCCCATGGACGGTTGCAGGGGGCTGTCGTCGACGACCACTTTAGGGGGCGAGAGGCGCGGCGGCGAGCTCGCTGGCTCGCTAGCGCCGCTGCTGCTCGCCTGCCGCCCGGCCATCTCCTCCGCGCCAGAACAACTGGACAAACATATCATTTGTGTAATAGTCTACTGCTGCTAAGTTATAATATAATGCAGTCCTTGGACATCTGCAACCAACTTTAAACAAAACATTGATGATACGTCATCTCTGAGGACAAAGATGGAATACCTCACAGTTGGTAATTATACTGATATTTCATACCCTGCAAAGCGGAAGAGAACAATGGATACACAGCTGCAACCAGCTATATATACCCAGGCGGACTCTCAAGTAAATAAGAAGCTTTACCACCTTGTAGACACCTAGTCTAAAATAAGAAGAAAGCCGTAAAATATCAACTTTAACTATTAATTTAAATATTAATTTTGACCTTAGCTTTATGCATTGTTGGTTGAAATTGTTATACAAAAATAAAATAATTCTTAAAAAAAAAGCAATCGGTCTCGTGGGGAGTGCGGTTGTCCCATTGCGATTATCACTACGATTTTAATTTTAATTACCAAATGAAAAAGCACCTATCACGGTAAAAATACTTACATGTGGAATATAACTCCATCTTTTTGTAAATTTGAAGTATTTGACTGCTTTATGCACACGTTAACCGCACAGATCCGCATTTTTCAAAGAGCACCTACTTCAGCGGAAACGATTCTTGTAATGATAAAATCGATTCCGAGAACAGTTTTTGTAAACGAACAAGATTTTTAAATCCAATACCTTGGCAGAAGGGAACGCTATCACCATTGCTCTTCTTACCGGTGTAAATATTTTATAATAATAATAATAATCTTTATTTCGGACCAAAATTAATCCATAGTAGTGTTAGTAACAATTGACTTATAAACTAGTGTTAGTAAACATTAATGTATGGACAAACTTTTTCAAAATCGGAGAATTATAGTTCTCCGCTACTGTTTTCAAAATGCTGTTGTGACTATCTCTCACCCTTCTAAGCAGCGAAGCTGTTTTCTTACGTATTATTGCATGAAAACCGTCCGTGCGAGCTTGCGCAAACATCTCGGAGGCACTACAGTATCAAGGCAGTCCCAACAACATTCTGAAAGCATTATTATATTGAACACGCAGGGCATCCAGCGACCTTTTAGTGTAATAGATCCATAGATTGCTCGTAAACAGATAGTATGCCTTAAATAGGGTAATTTTAACTAAGTCCGTACATCGAGCAAATCTACGGGCCAGCATGTTACTCCTGACCGCTAGAGTCCTGCGTTCCCTCTCAATGTCTACATTATCTTTCAGGTCATCTGCAAGAAAATGACCAAGATATTTAAAGGACGTCACTTTTTTAAGTTTTGACCCATTCAAGAACAGGTCAGGTTCATCAGTCCTAGGATTGCCCCTGACTCCAAAGACAATGTACTCACATTTTTTGACATTATATGCCAACCCATGAGACTCAGCATAGGCTACACACACCTTCAGTTACTCTCTCTTATTTTGGGGTCTGATAATTCTGATAACCGATACGTTACTGATTTAGTCACTTCATCTCGTAGGAAAAGCCCCACGCTGCGCTTGCCGGTGAAAGTACGAGGAGCTCACTAAAGAGTTAACAAGGCGCAGTCTGACTGGTCAAACTTTCTTTCCCAACAGTAATTGACCCTACGATATGGTTACCTGGTACTCCAGGTCAATGACTAGAGGTATATTAAGGTTTTGTGTACACTTTAAAGATTTATATACTTGTTAAATTATATAAAACTGGATGGCAAGGCAGACGTTGTTCTGCCCTCTCCGACGACCCTTTGTCCTATAAAAAAATCCTTAAATTCGTAATAAAAAAATATTGAAGGCACTTATCGCGATATAAACTATCCTACCTCTCAAGTTGGAATAAACTGCACACAGTGTTTGGAGTTCATCGTGGACAAACGATGTGACACGTAATTTTTATATATACCTAAAGATATGACAATCACTTGACATTTAAATTAACCCCTCTTAACATTTTTATTGACTGTGCGCTTAATCATCAGATATTATACATAAATATTGAAATCTCTAATGAATAGAACTTGCCTAAAGATGTCGGGGGAGGGTGGCGGGGAGGCTGACGAGGCCGGCGAGGCAAGCGAGAGCGGCGAGGCAGCGCGACTGCGCTCGCGGCGGTGCTGCGGCTTGAACCACTCGGGGTAGATCGCGCTCAGCGTCTCCACCAGGTCGTGGTCGAGGGTCACGCGCCACGACGCGCGCCCCTCCGAGCCCTCCGAGCCGCTGCTTCCACCGCACGACGAACGGCTCTCTGTATAACAATATATTCTATTTTTTTAATTTATTCATTCATAACAGCTTAATGTACGAGTACATGGCATAATGGTATGGATATTAGTTGCACGGCTTTAAGAAAAGGATCCCAGAATTTATTGTCTCCTTTTCTCTGATTATGTCCATAAGTGCTTTAAACAACTCTAAATTTTGTCATTTTCTAGACCATTTTTACTGGAAACGAGGCATTTCATCTTAGTCTCCAGGAATGACAACGCATCTGCATTTTGATTCTTAGTCGAGGATAAATGGAGATCTTTATGGACTACAGGCGACTTACCATCATGTGAACTGTGTGCTCATTTGTCATCCTTATTCTATAAAAAAGTAAATAATTAAGTTTTGACTTCGACTTTGATCGAATAAATAGAAAATAGAGTTAATCCTAAAAACTTCTGTGAACGGCGTTTTAGCATTATAATGGCTTTTATTAGAAACGTTAAAACGCAAAAATAATTGTCTATTTAAGAAGAGTTAAATTTGAATATTGTATACGCAATTGAAAATACTTACACAGACTTTTAAGTCCCCTAATGGATATAGCCCTCTGCAAGAATACGCCCCAGCTTAGTTGACGTGTACAACTAGTAATGTTGGTTAACATTTTCTAATACATATAATTTATCAAAATTAATTAACAAACTAAAATTTAAATAATAACATCTATGGGAAGTCTAATTTTAAACAGATCGATAGAGACTGACAATACAAACACAGCTTGTATAATGTATATTCCATGAAATCATAGTTCAAAGTTTAGTATAAAACCTTTCGATGCATCTTTTTCATCATGGCATCTCTAAGTAAAACTAAAAAATATATTTTTAACGAATTTATAGATTCAAAATTACCAAAAATAGAAGCATTGTGCTTTTAAGTTTATTTTTAAATAAATAAATTTATAGTTCTTAAATTTTATCTTGGTTTGTATGCAATCATAGGGGTCGGAGAAACCAGTCCACGCGTCGCGTTGCGTCGGTTAAGTTAGAATAAAAATAGAAATTAACGTGTGTAAACCTGTGGTTTTACAAAAATGAAATGTGTTTCGGGTATGGATGTCATAACACATAGAAGACGGTGACTCGCAATTGCAATAAAAAAAAGGGTTCCGTTTTCTTATAAAACACATACTGGAGCAAAGTGCTACATAACCTTAACCCTCTCCGAAATGAGAGACGTTATATAGGCTGTAACTTTATTTTTTTTTATTTTTGACTTGTGATTTCAGCCACAATCTTTCTTTCACAGTATTCGATGTTACTTTGATATTACAGAAAACAATAATGTAAACAAATGGGCGCACGTGCGTACGGCTGACTTGTGAGTCACGACGTCCGAAATGTGATGTATGTGGCGTGCCAATCACAAACGAGAATATTTCCTATTGTTTAAAGGCGTGCAAAATGAAAAATACAAGGAAAAATCTATATAGGCTAAGATTTTGTTTAGTGAAATAGATTTTTTTATCATATCGGTGTTGTATTTTTTCATTCAATAACGCATGAGGACATTACCCACGACGGCAAAACCACGCATGTAATAACTGTATAAGTAACTCTATGTATCTGTTCAATTAAAAAAAAATACAGTCGAATTGTTAAAACTCATTATTAATATCAAAATTTATTTAATTTATAAAAAAATGTTTTTATTAATAGATTAGACTTCGATAAATATAAAAAATTTACAGCTAAAAGCCCAAGTGCGGACACATCTATATCTAAATCTAAATACAGTTTAACTTAACACAATCGGCTGCACCTTGCCGCGACATAAACATACAATACAAGTCAAGTCTGGAAACTTTACCAATGGAAGGTAGCTTTGCCATCAGTGGTGTACTGGTACAAAATTACGATTTACACGGACAACGTAACATTTTTCGAGATATGCTATTTTTTGAATGAAAAGGCTTTTTATTTTAATGCGGAATTGTTCCGGCGAAATAACCTCTTTGTTCAGTGCTCCAGAACTTTTGTAGATTTTGTTTGAAATAATGAATGTGATATCTATAACCTTGTAGTAACGTTATATCAATGGTTATCAAATGTAATATATCGTTTTTTACATGTTAATCTTAACATTTATCTATAAAACTAACTTGGCAAAGTTACTACTAAGTGATACCACAATGTGACGGTTACTTTGCCATGTTTTCCTACAACCAAGGGTTGTCACTTTCAACCTATATTTTTAACCGATTACAACTATATTTAAACAAAGTGTTCTGTATTTGACATTCTATGTCTGTATGTTTGTATCGATATTTCACCGTAGCAGCCCATTAGACCGATTTTACCAAAGGAGTCGTCAATCAATTAATCTTTATCAAAAGTGAAGGAAAAGAAAAGAGAAATCTATATTATTTTTACTGCGTTGTCGGGCATTAATATTACTATTTCTACTAAGTATTTTTCGCAATTTAAACTTAGTGTATTGAAATTAACTTGCACGCAAAAAACCAGTGTAATTTTTAATGTTTTGTTATTGTGAAAAAACAATATTTAGATTGATTACAATAATTATGACCTGACATAATTTCCTTATGACCCATAATAAAATGATCACTAATAAAAAAAACATATACTTGTTAAAAATGATTGTGACAAGCTTTTTATCTATACTATAATTGATAATACATTACGGTTTAAGTAGCTATGGTAGAACCTGTAAATCGCATCTTTATAATATCCATGAATTACAGCTTAGAATCATCAAAACAATTGTCCCACCTAAAATCAAACAACAATATAAGGATAACTACAACAAATTATTTAAATTTTGCGGTATTCTGCCTATTGAAGAAAAACTAAAACTTACCTTACTTGTTGAACAGTTCTTTAATACAAAATTGCAAGTCCTACCAATGTATAAACACCAGCTTAGAAGTATATATAACCCTAAATTAATTATAGCTAAAACACAAAATATGTATGGAGATCATCAAAATAAGATCATTATTCCTAAATTAATTAATAAACTACCTAAAAAATTAAAGGAAGATATCAATCCTAAAAATATTAAAAACAAATTAAAAACGTACTTTATGAATCAACTAATATAATAACTAACATAATATAACTAAAACTAATACTATATACTATTTCTATACTATATACTATTATATATGTATACTAATTGTAATATAATTACTATATTTATATTTCAAAAATATAAAAATATTTTTTCCTCTGAACAACCTGTATACAACTCATCCTCACGTTATTGTTATAGAAGCGAGCGAACTACCTTCTTACTCTAAATAATATTAAAATGTTTACGCTCAAAAGACGGCGAACTGCAGTGTGCAGAAAAATCTTATATAGGTTTATGTTGCACTGTACTTATGAACTGTGTATAATATGTATTTTTGTTGTTGTAAAATAAAAAAAAAAAATTAAGATAACTAAGATTAATTCACCAATTTCATTTTTAATTTTAGACGAGAATATTTTTGTTAGATAAGTATATTTTAGATTTTTGCTTAAGAATTTATTGTGATAAGATTTAAATAAAAAAATTAAGTACGTAATTAAGGATTTTTGACAACCCTGGCACATATTTTCAAGTTTGTATGAAATATTGAAAAATGGGAGGGTAACTTTGCCGTAAGAGTAAACTTTGCTATTCACAACACTATTAAACTTCAACCTTGAAGTCAAATCCTATTATTAAGTGGCGAAGCTTGCGAAGTCACTTATTGATTTCACGATGTCTGTCCGTCTGTCCCACGATTATCTCGAGAACTGTTTCGAATTTTCAAATTCTGTTTTCAGCAATCGATTACTGATCACCCAGGCATCTGAACCTCCTATTTTGAAACGGATTGCTCAACGGCAACCGTTAGAAACCGCTACAAAGCTGATTGCGTCGCCACTTTGCTATGCTGTTAGCTTGCTAGGTTTATTGATTTCACGATGTCTGTCCGTCTGTCCCACGATTATCTCGAAAACGGTTTTGAATTTTCAAATTCTGTTTTCAGCAATCGATTACTGATTATCCAGGCATCTGAACCTCCTATTTTGAAACTGATTGCTCAACGGCAACCGTTAGAAACCGCTACAAAGTTGATTGCTTCGCCAATTTGCTATGCTGTTAGCTTGCTAGGTTTATTTTTATTATAAACCCCGATGGCAAAGTTGCCAAGAAGTGAGGTTAACTTTGCCATTTTCTTTTTTTGAGTATTTCGTCTATTTAATGTTAGTATTTGTTTAAATCACGAATAAATACCAAACCTATGAAGAATATAATCTCACATTTAACATTGACGCATATTCTGACAGTACATTTTTTGTTGGAAAATTGGTCCTAAATTTTTAAGTCCTTCCAAAAATGGCAAAGTTGACAGGTTTCACGGAAAGTGATATTATTATTACATTGTTTCCTTAAAAGATATGCCTTTTAATGTATAACAGAACTTATGGCTATACGACGTATGTATACCTTTACTTTTTTATACTGAGACGTAAATATACTTTTTCTAGTTCTAATAGGTTCTACTTCCCAGAGAACAAGTTATTTTTATTTTTCTAACGCCGAGTAAAGCTCGATGTCTATTAATATTGAAATCTCTACTACAGTATTCCTCAGTTTATTTTTTCTAGAATAATGGTGATATACGAGCGCAGAGTCCAGCTCATGGTAAGTGGATGCTGTGGCTCATAGACATCTACATTTATTCTCGATTAAGAATAAAAATGCAGATGAGTTTTCACCCCTGAGGACTAAGATGGAATGCCCCGTTTCCATTAAAAAGGGTCTCGGGTTCTCTACACTCATCATACGAAACACATAGCATTAAGCTGTTATTCTGTGAGAGCGTGGTCCTACCCCGGTCGAGCAGACCCATTCGTGCTACAACCATAATATAGCTGCAGGTTGTTTCAAGTACGTAAGAAAATATTACTTTTAGTAAATTTATTAAATATGTTATATGTGTTGGCAACACCGCGATAACTATTAATTTCGAAGATTTGT